CCGTTGTGTTCTTGACCCTAGTGTCTTTGAGAATAAGGTAGAGGGTTTCAAAAGCTTCGTGTTGATCCAAATAAGAGTTGGTTTCATCATCTTTGGAGTTTCGATCTTGCTTGCCCGTCTTCTCCACTTAAGGTAGGGATTTTCTACACTCTAATATGGTTTTTAGCTTAGTTATTTGCTATTGTGTATAGATGATGAGATTTGGTTGTGATTTGAACAAATCTAAGATTTTGGTGTTATATGGAAAAGAGAGGTTTTTGATGAATATGAGGTAAATGAGTATAAGGCTTGAATATAAGATCATGTTGTGTCAAAATAGTTGTTTTTGGTGTTTGGGTTGATATTTGGTAAGAAGGGGATTTTTTCCCTAATTTGATTAAATCATTATTTTGCATAAATAATTGGGATTAACATTTAAAATGTGAAATTGGAAGGTTGTGGTTATAAATGGTGATATTGGATATGTATTATCTCACCTATGGAAGTTTTGAATAAACTATTTATTCTGATATTGGACATCTCTTTAGAAATAATTGCATTGGGCTATCAGTGGAGGATAGCTATGATTGTTGTAGAAATTACATGAGAATTAGGCGATTTAATGCTAATCCATTGTTGGTGTCATTGAATATGACCATGTTATAAATACATTGCATATGTATGTTTATCGGGAGGAGAAAGGGGATGTACTCCATATGTGATTATATTTATAAATACATTGCATATGTATATTTGTTTGGAAGAAGAAAAGGGATGGACTTCATTTAAAGCAAGTTGGCTGGAGTGTCTTGGGTGAAAGACCCGAAAATTTATACATAAATGGGTGCCAATTCCTTCGGACGAAATATTCGTAAAATGGAAAGTTTGAAGCGTTTATGTGTGTTTTGCATAATTGGAAAACCATTGAGTTGTAGTCTCATTTTGGTTGTTGAAAGATAACGAATTTAACTCATGAATTGAGTAGCATATATGAACTGAAAATGAATTGAAGGAAAAAAAATGAAATGAGGTTTGGTCTTAGTGGCATATGAATATGCAGGCCTTGGGGATGTCTTAGTATCGGTATTGTTTATGCACGTGGTATTTATACCTTTGCTAAACCTCATATATTGTGTTAGATTATTTCTTCTAGGCCGTTGCCTCACCCTATATGGGAATACCATTTTCAGGTGCAGGTGAGATGTTTCCTCCAAGGCAATAGCGTGGATGGACTTTCGGGAAGCAAAAGCTTCTTAATTATGTCTTGTTGTGTGTATGTTGGTTATTTGTAAAGCCAAGGGCTTAAGATGCAATGAACGAGACTCAGTTTGTGTAACCAAACAATGACTTGGAAAATGTAAGCCTATATGGCATTTAACTTGTTGTTAAACAATGAACTCTAATATAAGAAAGTATGTTGTTTCTCATATTTATTCCGCATATGAGTTATCTTTATTGTATTATTTTGGGAGCGTTATAATCCATCTATTCAACGATAAAAGAATATCAAATTATCCAAAATTTTAAAACTAGTTTCAAAATATACAACTAAATAAATTTTTAAACTTTCTTTACAAAATTATTTTTTAAATAATTTCTCAAAATACAAACCAAACAACGCCTAAGTTCTTACTATGATCCGAACCTTATAGCCGTTGATTGTATTAATTAATTTTCGAAATCTACACCATATGCAGGTAATTGATCAGCTGTTGAATTTCATGAATCTTTTAGTGTTCCGATCTAACAGTCAGGGAAAGGGCTCTAATCTCCTACCATGGGCTCGCTCTCACCTCACAATAGTTGCCCTTCGTCGTTATAAAGACTACTATGCAACAAACCGTCCACTCAGCTAAATCACCGTCTAATTTGCACTAATTTGTCCGCTAATCATAAATTGATTTGATATGTGATACAAGTTGATTTGGACCTTGTTTAGATATAGGCTATTTTAATAATTTTTTGATTTTTTAAAAAAACATACAAAAAAAAATTTTAAAAAAAAGTTATATGATTAATAACTTATAATAACTCTTTGATTTTTAGACTAATAAAATATATAGTTGACAACGAGACCTTAATATGTGATTTAAAATTTATAATTCTCTTTTAAAATTGTCCTATTGAAAAATGCTAAGAACTCTCTTTACAAATTTCATATTTTAAATAAATTTCAAGAAATGTTATGTAAGATCAGTTAATATTATTATGAAAAAGTCTACAATGTGCACTTATTGTATGGTCTATATTATGCCACGTCATAAAAAGTGACCTGCTAAATCAGTCATCTAACAAGTTACATGAAAGAATCATAACTTTTTTCAAATATCATATCAATTAGTACAATTAATCATAACAATGTCATAATATACACTAAGGTGTCATAACAAAGACACTATCAATCATAACAATATGACAATGATTCATAACAAATGTAGTTATTTCTTACAAATTATCATAACATTTGAATCGTAACATTTTTTTATTATGATTCACCATAACAAATCATAACATTCACTAATGAACCATAACTATAACTTTTTTCCTCACAATTATAATAACATTAACAGAATATCATAACTTTTACTAATAAATCATAATATTGCACATTGTTTGTAATTTTGAAGCTGTAGCGCATTGGACATACCACCAATGTAATAATTTTGTCCATATCTTCCAAATCCCACGGAAAAGCAAGAATAAATGATTGACCTGAGTGAGTTTCGCAGAAGGTGCACACGTCGTGGTTGATATTGCTACTTAATACACCAATCCCTTATAAATAAAATTTCACTCTCCCTTTCCATATCAGCAGTTTTCACTCTCCCTTTCAAATAGAGAAGATGAAAGTTAAACAGTAAAGAAACAACCAAGAGGGGGCACGTTACATAGGAGAAATATATCTAATATATCTGTGTGTGGGGAATTCTACAATGTGCACCTTCTAAAAGGACATATGATATATACTTATTGTGTGATCTATATTGTGACACGTCATAAAAAGTGACTTGTTAAACCGGTTCTCTAACAAGTTACATGAAAACAATACTACAATGATTTATAATATACACCAAGGTGTCATAACAAAGACATTATCAATCATAATAATATGACAACGATTCATAACAAATGTAGTTATTTTTTACAAATTATTATAACATTTGAATCGTAAGAAATTTTTTATTATGATTCACCATAACAAATCATAACTTTTGGTAACACAAACCAAAACTTTTACTAATGAACCACAACCATAACTTTAATCCTCACAATTATAATAATATTAACAAAGTATCATAACTTTTACTAATGAATCATAATATTGCCCATTGTTTGTAATTTTGCAGCTGTAACCCATTGGACATACCATCATTGTAATAATTTTGTCCATATCTTCCAAATCCCACGGAAAAGCAAGAATAAATGACTGACCAGAGTGAGTTTCGCAGAAGGTGCACACGTCGTTGTTGATATTGCCACTTAATGAACCAATCCTTTATAAATAAAGTTTCACTCTCCCTTTCCATATCCGCAGTTTTCACTCTCCCTTTCAAGTAGAGAAGATGAAAGTCAAATAGTAAAAAAATAGCGAAGGGGGGCCAAGTTACATAGGAAAAGTATATCTAATATATATGTGTGTGGGGAAAGTCTATAATGTGCACCTTCGAAAAAAACATATGATATATACTTATTGTGTGGTCCATATCGTGTCACATTATAAAAAGTGACTTGTTAAACCGGTCCTCTAACAAGTTACATGAAAATAATATTATAATGAATCATAACAATGTCATAATATTCACCGAGGTGTCATAACAAAGACACTATCAAT